AGAGCAAGAGCCACCTCCTCGTCCCCTTTCTTGCTACTCCTGCAGTGCCGTAGTTAATCCTCTGAAAAATGCATTCCTGTCGGCATCTGTGCAAAAGGTAGCGTCTCGGATTCCCGAAGCGCTTGAAAGTACGCACGGCTGGCACTTCAATGTTGCGGTTGTTTTCGGACCTCCGGGACCTTGGCTTCAAGAAATCCCCGGCCCTGGTGGTCCGTAGCTTCGAGTGCTTAGACGCCAATTTCTCAGCGGGCATGGTACTCACGCCGTCGCCCGACCGGGTGCGAGGGTGTTTCTGCAGGGGTTGTTGCAGGCCAATTTGCAATGTTTTTTGTGGCGCGTCTCGGACGGCTGACCGCAAGACACCTCAACCGGCCTGAGTCTAGCGATGTGGCCGGCATTGATGGCCTTCGCGGTTAGGCGCCAGAATTAAAGCGCATCACGCTGGGCTGTGTTTTACCCTGGCCCCGGTTTTTCTCTTACGCTTGGTTTCAGTGTGTTTTGCCCCAGTGCCTCTCTGACATTCTCCGCCCGGCCCTCTTTCTGGGGGCGGCGCTTTCATTCTGCTTGGAGCCTCACGCGCCGTTTGAGTGCGGCGAGCCCCGATGCGTTGACGGCCAGCCAAAGGTCTTGGATTTGCATCCGAGCAACCATGAGGGCAAGTGCCGGCCTCCCGGGATATAGCCTCTGCGGGTAGTCCTTGGGGGTTCAAAAATGGGGTATCCGACATTTTGCTCCGATGCATTTTTCTCCATCGTGATTCGCTTCAGAAAAAAACGCATCGGAGCAGTTTTTGTCGAGGTTCTTGTTAGATGTATTACACAACATTGGATCTCGTCCAATCTGCTCCGATGGAGACAGCGATGCGTTTTTCGGATCGAAGCCCTGGGCCTTGAGTGCCTTTGGACCGCTAACGAACCTGAAGAGGTCCATCAGGGCAACTCACGCGAGCCTGGGGGCATTGCTCTCAGCTTTGGTGACGAAATCGAGGAAAACAATTCCCAGATCCCTGATCCGGAAAACGCATCCGTGTCTCCATCCGAGCAAAATGCATCACCAGCAAACTTGCTCCGCTGCGGTTTTCTTTTACGGAGGCACGGGTGTGCTTTTCGGATCAGGGATTCGAGCAAGCAAAGTAGCGAACTTGCTCTAGTGCCTTCTTTACTGCTTCGCTCTTTGTAAGACGGCTTGGTCTCTCTCCAGATGCATCAGAGCAACCTCGTGTCTGATTACAATGCGCGCGCCAATGTCTTCAGGGCGCGTAGCTTTTTCGCACTGTGTGGCCCTGATGAAGAGCAAGAGCCACCTCCTCGTCCCCTTTCTTGCTACTCCTGTATTGCGCAGCAACCAGTCTCGGACTAGAGCTGTTGCTAGCATGCTCCTCAGATCAATGAGATCCATGAACTAGGTCACAGAACACCAGTAGGTGTAGGATGTAAATACAGGGGTCACACTAGTAGGATCACAGGGATCACACAGACAGGTGCGATCACACTAGTAGTCGCTTGAACCACGGAGGAGAGCTTGCTGCATTTGCTGGGTTTTGGAAAATGTCTGCTCAGGACCCTACCGGAAATTTTCGCGCGATGCTGACGAACCCTTTTTATGGTTCTAGCAGTTTCTGGGTAGTGGTTTCATTCCGCTTTGAAGCGAAGGACTCAGACTTATTTTCAGACTTTGGGAGCATTAGAGGCTATATTTCTCCTTTTCTGATTTGTCTTGTGCGCTGGGGCGTATTTCCTCGACCGAGTAGTCTGGTAGCCGTATCTGCAGAATTTCGGTTCGCGAGTGCTAGCGTCAGCATGCGAATATTTTGAAAAAAGGGCACCAGAGGCAGTTGCTTGAGGATTCTCGATGTTGCGCATGACAACCAGGGCTAGAAGAGATTTCGAGTTTACATATTGATATTGCACGCAACCACTGGCAGTGGATATAGCCGCCTAAATTAAAACCGTTCTGACGATGGGAACATCGTTCGTGGTGAAGCCACCGCAGGGGAGTGGGAGTCTAAAAAGTAGAAAACGTCTCTGCCGCCCCAGAGATGGGAGCGCGGTTGACATTTACTAGCCTAAGAATAGGGAGCGATCATGGCCTCAGTGCTATTGGTTTCGCTGTTTTCCCTATTAGCCTTCACGCCTTGCTGTATTCAGATTACAGCCGATGTCGAGAAGTGCGATGGTAGCACTTCGGCCAAGTGGTATTCTTAGCCTGGTAAAAGCACAGCCGTAAGCTTAAGCAAGAAAAGTTTCTGACGTTCATCTGAGAGCAAGAGCCACCTCCTCGTCCCCTTTCTTGCTAC